TGTGTATAACTGACTGTTTGCACTCTGGTTAGACCCTCCTCATTTCCTTACACTCTGCTTGTGCTTTTATTATGTAATGACAATAAAGTAAGTATACTAATCTAATCTAAAAAGTACAAAACACACAGCTCCACACTCATGGTAGCAGTGGTGTAAGAAGTAAACAGATATTCTACTGAAGTAAAAGTAGAAATACCACAGGGTAAAAATACTCTGTTAAAAGTAAAAGTACAAAAGCATTGGTATCAAAATATACTTTAAGTACCAAAAGTAAAAGTACTCCTTATGCATAATGGCCCTTTTCAGAATCGCATTGAGTTACTATAGTATAATGATTATTGATGTGTTTTATCACAGTTAGTAAATGTAGAGCTCATTTGAATAACTGTATGTCCTGCTGCTGGATATCTTAAACTATAAATATCTGTCAAAGTGTATTTAATAATTGATTTAAGTTTTGAATTATCTACTAATCTATATCTAACTAGTAACTAAAAGCTGTCAAATAAAGGCAGTGGATTAAAAAATACAATACTGTCTTCTAAAATGTAGTGCAGTAGAAGTATAAAGCAGCATAAACTGAGACGTATTGGCATAACAAATAGTTAATGTACCAAAAGTAAAAGTACTTACTGTGCCCAATGTCCCATTTTAGAATCATGTATATTGAATTACGGGATTCTTTCATCTTGTTTACGTTAATGTGTTCATCACAGCTGTTAAAAGTGGAGCAACTTTTACTTTATATACTGCTGCTGGATATCTTAACCTATAATTATATATCACTGTTTATTCATATTTCCCACAGTTAAATGCAGATAAATGTGTATCTTTTTTATAATGTACATTTCTGGATTCTCTCTCTCATTAGTAAAATAAACCTACCATTAAAATGATAGACTGTTAATGTATTTGTAAGTGGGCAAACTAACAAAATCTGCAAGGGATCAAATACTTATTTCCTCCACTGTAACAATATATATCACTTTATAAGCTATCAAGCCATCAAATATGTTTTGTGGCTCCAGAGAAAATAATTGGTGGAAAAGGGTCTTAAATGGCTCTTTTGGTCAGAAAGGTTGCAGACCCCTGTCCTAGGGTCACAATGAATAGTTTTTCTGTCAGGATATAGGTTATTTTATCTCATTGCCACATACAACAAACTGTAATTATTCTAAATTGTGAGCACCGCAACAGGTGCATTCAACTTATAACCATACGTAGCTAAAGGCACATCATAGTCATAACATGTACTAACAGTCTTTGTTTCAACAGCATATCTACTTTATATCTATAGGTTTAGTTTTGTCACTTCCATCTGTTTCTCTTCAACTGTACATCACCTTTTTTTAACATAAAAAAGGTGAAAGTTTTCTAATGAAAAGTGACAAAATTAAGTAGACTCAAAAAGTGTGTGCACAGACTATATCCAATTAGTGTGAAAATGTCTTAAGTATACTTAATGTTGTCACTTTTCCTGTATGAACCCACTATATACTCAACATGTTAGGTACAAACCATTTATGGTTAAACAGAAAAGGTTCAAATCCCCTGTTACCTGTAACAAAACTAAAGCTCAGAAACATTGTTAAACAGAGGATTGGCATTCATATCACCTGACACCATATCTGTCTGCATGCCATATCCCGCATTAACCACAGAGTGGCAGCGTTGCCTCTTAACCCATTCATATTCCACCCTTTGTCCTCCTGGGACCCGAGAAAAAAAAGTGTTTTCCAATTTCCTTTTTTTTGTTATTTCCTACCTATTTAGGGTTAAAAAAACATCTTGCAATTTAGACTTTTTTAATTTAATTTAATTTTTAAATGTTACAGTATGTCCACTGTAGAGCACGTCGGGACCATTTTAGTTTGAAAAGACAGCCAAAATGAACAGATAGACTATGTAACGTATTATGGTTATAGAGTGATATTAATACAATAATACATTCACCTTTATTTAAAACATGAATAAGTAATTGATCTGAACATTGCTGTTTATTTGGTTTTTGGTGAATTTTTCCAGATCTTCAAAGACTTTGTAGTCAATGTACTGGGAAAGTACATCATTGACTCCAGTCGGCACGGGCTGTAGGGTCATCTTGACTAGTGTTATGGATGTGGTCTCCATTTGACCATGTTCATAGAAACAAATAATAATAATAATAATACATTTAATTTCAAAGCGCTTTTTCAGGTGCTCAAAGACGCTTTACAGTGGTGATAAAACGAGATAAAATAGAATAAAAAATATTAAAACAGCAACACAACATAATTCACAAATTAAAAGCCAATCTGAAGAGGTGTGTTTTGAAAGTGGGGGGGTCGGTGCAGTCTCTGATGTGTTGTGGAAGGGAGTTCCAGAGGGTGGGGGCAGCGATGGAGAAGGCTCTGTCCCCCCAGAGGGTGGGGGCAGCGATGGAGAAGGCTCTGTCCCCCCAGGTTCGGAGCTTGGTTCGTGTGGGGATAGAGAGGAGGTTCGCTTCTGATGAACGAAGGCTGCGGGAAGGGGTGAAGTGGTGGATCAGGTCGGTGTATTCGTTGAAGCTTGCATTCCTGAGGCAATTCTCATTTTTCATGGCTCCACTTAAAATAAAAACAACAATAAGACATACGTGCTACTCTTGGCCCACAGAGGGACATGTCTTTCCAGCTCGTCCCTATCTGTCTCTATGTCTGTATATGTGCGCTCATGGAGCCTCCTGCATCTTTCCCCCCCTTCTTCTTGACCCTCTTCTATCCCAGGTGTGAAATCCTCATCTCTCTCTCATCATCTGAGAGCTCAAAATCTGAATCTCCCTGAACTATCTGGTACAGAAAATGTCTGCTTCAGTTCCGTCTCCTGCAACAATATTGAATCATTAAGTCCATGAAGATGGTCCTGACGTCCACTAGACATTTATAAAAGAGCTGTTATTTGAAAACTTGAATTATTTAATTGCTTTCAGAACTAATTATATAGTTCCTCACATGTTAATAAACAAGAACATATATGATTTTCATGGTAAAAATTAAAATTATTCAACAATATTTGACTTCTTCTCCTGCTTCTATAACATTGTGTTTTTGGTATGCCAGCCATTTTGGATGAAAAGAAAGAGGAACTTCTCAGCATGCAATTTTAACCAATGACATATCACTGGAAAGACCAGGATGTCCTCTGTACAGTACATCAGGGATTGATGAGTAGCTCAAAAGAGTAAAAGGAGATGCATGTTAACAAACAGACATTTTCAATGGGCTGGGTCCCAGGAGGATATACAGTCTATGATTCCAGCAAATTAAACTAAAAGCATTAGATTTCTCACTAAACTGTGTTCCTCAGATCAGGGGAATGTTTTATGAGTGGCATTACACTGCAGTCTGATCTCATGTGAACTTCAGGCATGTGGCTTGGGTTGAGGTGAGGTTTCCGGACCAAATTGGTGCCACTGCACCACTTTCCCATACGCTGCTGGTGTGTTGTGCTCATTTGATCTCTCGTTTCTTTCCTGCAGAATCTATACTTACATATTGATCTCTACTGTAGTCTAGCTGTGTAAGAGCCAAACAGAAATAGGTATTTTTATCAATCTGACTCCACAAAGTTGTAGTTATTGAAGTAATACTTGAGGTAATAAAAGCTGTTACTTCTGCTGTTGATAATTCAGTGTCATGCAGAAACTGAATGCACATTTAACGTAAGGAGCATAACTTAAATATGTTTGCTACTATTTCACTTCTGCTGCCACCTGGCACTGCACACAGCCAGATACATGGATATAGCAGGGATTTTCTTCAATTGCATTATCAGTTCTACATTTTGTCAAACTATATAATTAATAATCCCACCGGCATCAAGGCAGGATTTTAAATGTAATTAAATGCACATTTGGGGTATTAATATACCACTAAAGCACATTTATACAGTAGCCTATGGGTTGAAATCGAAATGCAATGCCATGCCATGCATGCTATGGCATGCTATTGCTATGCCATGCTATGCTATGTTATGCTATGCTATGCTATGCTTAAGGCTAATTTGTTCCTTTATGGTATTGTGTACTAGCTAAAAACTTGTGAACACATTTTTTTAAACTTGTTTTTAATGAACATTAATAGAAGAAAGCAGCTCATTGTTGTACCTTATCTTATACGACTTGCATGAGATATAATTAGAAGTTAATTAGTTGGACATATACAAGCAGTAAAGCCACCAGACTACTGAGCATTTCCCTCTGATATGCCCTATTTCTCTGAGTCCTGAGGTTGTGTTTTAAGCTCTCTTGGTTATAAATGTGTGTGAAACTGATACTGAGAAAGAGCACTGTGCAAACTCTCCCTGAGCGGATTATGAGAAGTATGTGGCAGGATGATTGTGTGGTGATGTAAAGAAATGGAGATGGTGACTTCATGTGTTCATTCATCTCACCAGCTGGCAGCATCAGCTGTTACACACTCATCACACATTACAGCGATTTAAGATGCTAAATGTGGGAAGTAAGTCCTTTCATTGCTTCATCTAAAAGTGTGAAGTGTCTTTTTCAACATGATATATTTTGTATTTCAGTTATTATGTATTGATTATTTACCCATGTAACGTTATGCTTCTTCTTAAGGTTTTTCATCAGATTGATTTAAGCTAAAACATTATATATATATATAAGTACTTTTACTTTTGGTATTTTAAGTATATTTTGATGCCAATACTTTTGTATTTGTACTTGAGTAACATTTACATGCAGGACTTTTACTTGTAACAGAGTATTCCTACACTCTGTTACTAATACTTTTACTCAAGTAAAATATCTGAGTACTTCTCCCACCTCATATAGAGTAAATGTACTTTTCACCACATCCGAGGTGAGAATGGGTTCACAGTTCTGATGTGTGTTTGTTTGTTCGGCCCCTACGTGCCGCTGTTCTTCCTCTGTAGGCGGGGTCTAATTAACAAGAAGGGGTTTTGATGAACTGGAGGATTAAAAAAACCCTAAAAAACAGCAGTAGTAGTACCGGAGCCGCGACTGAAACGTGTTCGGGAGATCCGGGCACTCCTCGATCCTTATTTAATTAATAAAATAAAAATAATTTAATACATTTTAGTTGACGCATTTTCATTGGACACGTTACGTTCTCGACGTAGCGGTGCGTCAAACAAAGCGAACCCTTTATAACAGTTTCAGCTAGTCCTCGCCTCACTAACCGTTTTTATTTCTCTAAAAGAGGACACTTTTTCGGGCTAATGTTACTCTAAATCAACGGAACAACCAGTTTATCATCAACATAAGGTAAGTGTTGTTATACTCACCTACGTTTTCTTTAAGATTTAACCCAGTCTGCCATGTTTAAATCGACTGTAAACGACAAAAGGGGAGAAGCGAGGAATGCTTGTCTTCAGGGGGAAACTTTGGGTGTGGATTAACGAAGTTAGCTAGCTAGCACTGGAAAGGCAGTTGTTTTTCCCCCATAAATGTCCTTTAAAGTTAGGGTTTTCAACACTATGATGTGTGAAATGTCGCCATATTTCAACCTACACCTTAAGTCTGCCCCTGAATAAATCTTAAATTGGGCTTTGTACAGAAAGTAGGCCAACGAGGGTGGTTTAAAGTGTGAGGAAATAATGGGAATTATCAGTACTGGATAGCTATTGATACAAGTATTACTCCCCTTTGAGTTTAAACCTTTACAGATACTTTTACACATCCCTCTTGGTGTTTATACATACACATGTATGTAATAAAATGTCGAAAAACTAGCATCTTTCTGTGGCACTCAGACCTAAAAGCGAGAGAGGACAGTACACATTTTTTAATGGGAATTATCATTACTGGATAGCTTTTAATACAAGTATTACTCCCCCCCCCCCCCCCCCCCCCCCCCCTTAAGTTTAAACAGTGTAAAGTAACTAAGTACAGTTACCCAAGTACACTACTTATGTACACTTTTGAGGTATTTCTACTTTACTTGAGTATTTCAATTTTTCTTCTACCCCATTATTATTATAGTATATTTTGATGCCAGTACTTTTGTACTTTTATCTAAGTCACATTTTGATTGCAGGACTCTTACTTATAATAGAGTATTCATTTACTCCGGTATTTCTACTTCTACTTAAGTACAAGATCTGAGTATTTCTCCCACCTCTGACTTTAAACTATTACAGAGACTTTCACACATCCTACTTGGAGTTTATACTTACACATTTATGTAATAAAATGTCAAAAAACATGCCTCTTTCTGTGGGCTAAAAGCCTTTTGTTAAGGCACCATGGCATTGTCATATTACTACTCTGTTATAGTTTGTTTAAAGACATATTTACAGGCAGCTTTAGGTAAAGTCTTTTGTGTGTCTGGTCATCAATCAGGATTTTTTTTTGTCCTGAAAAGTGAAGATTGTATTTCAAAACCACCTGGTTTTCCTTAGGAATGCTCCTAAAGCACTTGGGTCATTTTGTCCGACAAGGCTTTTCTCAATGTGTCCATAAAAACCCTTTGCTGATGTCTTTTACCGTTTGTGCGTGGACAAAAGCAGAATTCACTTTAACTTCAGAAGGCTCATACATGTGGGGGAAAACATACATGAAAGACAACCAAACAAAAGCCCTTTGAAAGTCTTTAAACATTTAAATCAAGTTAGACATGTAAAGAAACAGCCTGAACAAACCACAGCCAGATCCTAGAGTGACCAAACTACACTATGGGCCGTACAAACTGTGGTTGAGGATACACTACGGCGTCTTAAAGAAGGCCAGATCGGTTAACCAGAATCCAGAGCCTCTTGTTGAGCCTTGCCCACAGCTGTGATTCAGGACTGTTGACTCTGCAACATGTACGCTGAACAAGATTGGTCTTGCTTGCCTCATTCACTTCCTGTAAAGGAATTGCAGCCTGAGGGAGTGTTTTCTTCCTTCCTTGTTAATCTCAGGGAGAAGCTTGATTCCTTCAACTAGTAATCTGCGTTCACCAGGGCCTGATTTAGTGACGGGGGAATAAAACGCCTCGGGTTAAGTGCTAGCTTGTCATTGCATCTTAATGACATAGCAACAGCAATGTGTCAAATCAGAGAACATGCATCTTTCTGATCTTGAATAAATGACATGTGTGCAGATAATATACGCCAGGCATGGTAAGTGTAGACATGAGTCTGTAGACTAGACTTAGATCTGACTCCCTGCAGATCCCTGAGTCACTTCCCTTAGTTACATTGTTGTGATGTTTAAACACAGCGGCCAGCAGCGAGGAGTGTCCGAGGCAGATTGAAGGGTCATTCAGCATTACTCAACTCCTTCCCCCCCACGACTTATCAGATATGAGTCATGGATGATCTGGCCTCCCAGTGACTGTCAGACGAGTCATGAGCGAGCGTTTGTTTGTAGATATATGATCATGGTTTAAACATTATCCCGTTATGGCTCTAACCCTCCCTATCCTCTGTGAGAAAGTGTTGGGAGTCCTTATAGCAGACTCACAAAAAGGGGGACATCGTTTGAGAATGTGCGTCAAGAAAGATATTTCTAGGTATTTCGGAGTAGTACAGAATATTGCTAAAACTGTATTTAATTAAGGATTCATTTTGGTCATAAATAGACCAGATGACAAGAAAGCAGCAATACAAAGAAGTGACAAGTAAAAGGCTAACACTATTTATCTGTTAATCTTACAGTAGAAACAGAAATGTGTTTTTTTCACCGCTCAAAATGCTAGGATTTGCTGCTCTGCACTTAAAATACACTATAATCTTTGACTTTTGAACAAGAAATGTTGGATAAAACCTTTTTGTCATTATAAAAACCTGTTTTAATCGATTATACAATTCATTTCTAGTGGCAGCTCTAAAAGAGAGAAAACGAGACACACTTCAAGAGAGTCATTAATAATAATAACAATAAATATCTCAGGTAATTCTCAAATGTGTTTTTATATTATAACTTTTTACAGTTACATCGGTAAAAATGTTAAAAATAAATATGTTAAAACGCCAAAGAGGTACAAGATGTCACATTTAAAGGCAAATAACTTAATTTATAAGGTGTTAGAAATGAAATCCAGCCACTGAAAGTCAAATAAATTCTCAGAGGAAACTGCTTTTTTTAAAACTCGACCGTGAGGCTTTCAACAAGTTATTTATATCCAGAAATGTCCTCATGCCTCGTACTGACTGAGTAGAGTCAGGGTTCAGGCTGGAAAGATGGAAAAAGCTCCCCATTTTTCAGTGACGTCGTTTCTTTTCCACAACATAATGTGGAGCAGGTTAAGAAGGAATGTGTTATCTCATCTCTCTGAGGGGAGATGGCTTCTCCTCCTCATGGCAGATAAAACCAAGCGGGTCCTGACGTTGCTCTACAACTTAAAACATATACAGCCGACTAACTTTTTTACTCTTTCTTAAATAAGCCGTGTCTAATTGAGTAACAGGAGAATTTGGTTTTTCAGATTTGTTCGATATGGCTTTTAGATCTTAAAGCAAATGTTATGTCAGAAGTATCACACATTGCATTGATCATAATTGTCTTTCAATTAGTTTTTTGCAACAGAACGGTTATACCCTGTTGTTGTCTTTACTTTTTGGGATGCTGGTGATACATGAGTCTGGGAGGTTCATAATGAATCCACTTGGATGAATCACCTGGAAGACGATAAGGCTATTAAACGACAAAAGGCAGTATTTCTCATGCCGTTGCTTCCCTTTAAATGTGATAATGGTTCGTTTTTTACTTACCTTGTTGGTATCTTATTTATCGTTTATTAAAAAAATGGTTTACAAAAACAGTAATGGGTAAAACACTTGGCTGTTATCTTTTTTGATAATGATTAGGACACCAGCCGAACCCATGCATTATCGTAGGACAAGGATTAAAGGGATGATATAAATGTTTAATAATCCGTTCAACCATTTCTTTAACTGTCAGATGGTCAAAATGTGTCTTTCTCATATGATTTGTCCCAAGAGACATCCATCCATCACCTGGTAACACTCATGTAGTTTGACAGCACATTTAATGTTCAGTATCAAGCGTCATGCCAGATGTTGTCTGGATAAACGAGGTATTCCTGTGCGTACGTTTGGTTTCCTTTAAACATGCTGTGTGTACGGTCAGCAGCGAGGGGTTCTTCCCGATCTTTCAGCAGCCGGTTGGAGAGAGTAAAGGGGGCCTGGGTGCGGCTTTAATTAAGGGAATGGATGCAGAGTCATGCTGAGTTGTTTGGGGACCTAATGGGCTGAGAGTGGAGTGTGACTTTCTGCAGCAGGTGGGGGGCCGTCTGGCTGAGCGTGGGGGGGGGGAAGGGCCCCACTTCTCAGTTTGTGGACCAACACCCAACAGGAGCATTTCTGGGTTTGGGTGAACGCTATGGCTACAAGATTAGGAAAATATAGGTTGTTTTATATTATATAGAATATAATCCTTTATTGTCATTATACAGGTACGATGAGATGAGTAGAGCTACTCCTTTCTTTAAGGTGCCATCAGAAATACAAATGAGACGTACAACATTCAGGAGATGACAACATGCAAGCATTCATACTTCAATATGCAGATCAAGTTAAAGTGCAGAAATATATCGGTTTAACTGATTCCCTGACATTACAATTGCCATGTGATTTGCAAGAGAATCTCTACATAATAAGGATGTTTTATTATCTCTGTGGAATACCGCGTGTTGGCCACGACTTCTCTGCAGCGCCACAATACTTCATTCAGATATTTTCACTTATTTTACCTTTACCAATTTTTTGGGCTTACAGCAAATTAGATGTAGCACTTGTCCATACGGTGTTTTTGATAGCATTTTGATTAATTGTGCAGCCCTAGTGAACGCCAATTTTTTTTTTTTCCTTAGTGTAGCGTTCATCATTTGATAACACCAGATGCATTATGTGACAGATCTGGGACACCCAAAATGTCTAGGTTTATGTAGCATTTGCTAAAACCAGATATGCAATGGGTTGGGTGTGTATCGTCAGTTGATATTAGCTTTACATAGTTTGGTTAAAGTAATGTCAACAGCTTAAGTGTGGAGAAGGAAAAAAGCAAAGCTATATGAGGTGTGTGTGTGTATAAACAAAGCAAGATGTACAGCTGTGTAATATCACGTTATCTGAGTTTAGCATTACTTTTCAGAGGTGGTGTTGATATGCAAACAAACAGTAGCATACAGCGATCACACATTATGGGCTAATTCAGTTTTATTTGTTTGCCTTCACGTGATCTTATTTAGTTTGGTGGTTAAGCAAGCTGGATGGCTCTCAGTTAATCATTCAGACTGTTTTCGTGTTTAAATGCCAAAC